ATGACACCAGGGATACTATGAATTTTCTGTACGCGGAGATCATTTACATTAATCTAGCTATATCATAGAAATGACATGTTTTGGATTGAAACAGCAAATGTTAGGGATTTCAAATAATAGAGTTTTGGTTCAAAGAAAAACAATTGAAAGATACCATTCAAAACAATACCTTCAAATTAAATTAGAAATGAAAATAACTCTGCGTTAGTTTTTGATATTTATAAACCAAATTCATTACACCGATCTCTTGCTGTGTGAGGAATTGATTGACTCTACATCTTTAATTGCTTTAACCTGGTACCACGAAAAAAGATCACCCGAAATTAGTTCCCTAGAAACAAATTTCCGCTGGCAATTAGGCCCACGGCGTCTTCTGACGAAGACCCACCGGAGCGTGTTAGCGACGCACAAAATAAAGAGCGTGAAAGAAATAGACGTAAGGAAGGACAAGGTTAAAGGAGGAGGGTAGAAAGCAGAGTGAGGGAGGGAGACAGAGAGGAGGAGAGGGGGAGCAAAAGAGGGAGCAAGAGGGGGAGAGGGAGAGAGGGAGAGAGAGAGAGAGAGAGAGAGAGAGAGAGAGAGAGAGAGAGAGAGAGAGAGGCCACCGCGCGTTCCCAATAAGGTTGCCGGCAACGCCGCCGCCAAATCCTCTTTCCCAGTGCAATTTCGAGGTTTCTTACTTCATTTCCCTTGCGTCTGCGCCGCCCGCCCCACCTACCCCTTCGTCCAGCTCACAAGGGGCGCCGCTAGCGCCGCTCGGCCTAGGACCGGCAGCCCCGCGGTGCCGCACCCTAAAGACCTCCAAGTACAACCCACCGCACCTTTCGCCGCACACTACCGAAATTGTTTTTGGAAACGGGCGACGGAATATCTTGCTTAACGTAAAAGAAGATGGGGGACCGCTTTGGCTAGCGTTTTCCTCCGCGTTCTCCTCATATTCCCAATAAATTGCATTAATCACTGTCTGGCAGTACATGTGTTCTGGGGTACTTTTCATCTTTGTTTTTCGACGAAAGGAAAGGTGAGGAGCAATTAGAGAGAGAGAGAGAGAGAGAGAGAGAGAGAGAGAGAGAGAGAGAGAGAGAGAGAGAGAGAGAGAGTAAGAGGAAGAAGGAGAGCGAGAGAGGGAGGAAGAGCAATAAAGACCCCGGGCCGACGAGGTCGCTTTCAAAAGACGCCCCTGCTACCTTAATTATCTCTCAAAGAGCTCATTATTAATTGTAGTGGCGGCCCTGCAGGTGCGGCGGCAGTGGCGGTTTGTGCTTCGTTTATTAATACGGCAGCCACCTCAAACGGGACGCTCAATTTGTTGGTCGTTTCACTCAGAAGCGTCCAAGTTTTTCATGAATCATTTACCGTCTTGAAATCATAACATCCCTGAGGGTGGCCGGTGAGGGGGAGGGCGAGGGAGAT